TTTTTTTCACATTTTGTCTCTCATAGTTGAGGTATTCCTATGATGAAAATTACAGGCCTCTCTCATCTTTTTAAGTGGGAGAACTTGCACAATTGGTGGCTGACTAAATACTTTCTTGCCCCACTGTATATATGGACGCGCGTGCAGTTGCCGTACTGTATTAAAGCTTTAATCAGGATAAAACCGTATATTAAAAGCTAATATAAGCAGTAGCATTTACAAATAACAGCATATCTAAAAGTATGAGACAATGACAAACAAAAAACATAGGCCTATCATTAAAAGCCGTGCTTGCGCAGGTTTTGCACGATCCTCTTCAATAATATCCTCTGCTTCTCAATCGGGCTCAAACTGATAAGCGATATTAACAACGCTGTTGTTTACAATACAACCGGACCACATGCCGCTGAGGTGAGGGGCGGGACGATTAGACGCGCACTAGAGGCAGTTTAGCCAATCACAACACGCTAGGCTAGCTAACCAATCAGCTCATCGCCTATTTCTGAGGGTGGGGCTTCATAAAAACTGGAAAAGATCAGCCCCTTTCTCAGAGAAGGGACAGAGCGGTGTGGAATAAAGGTAAATTATGTGAAAAACTAAGCATTAACACATGTTAGACTGCACCCCATAAACACAATCAAACCTAGAAAAAAAAACAGTGAACCACTCCTTTAAATCCATCCCAAATTCGAAGATTTGATGATCTCTGGGAGGGTATTTTCAGAAAAGAATCGTGGTGGAAATTTGGTTCAGAAGTTGTAAATTTGAAGTGTCAGTGACGCTAGAGAAGAATTGATAAGAGACCTCAAAACTGCCACCAGAAATCTTCAGGAACATTCATTTTCTGAAGAAAAGAAAAGGGTGCAGTGAGAAGTGATGCTGTCAGATGGCTTTTGGAAGGTTCGTATCCCTCCGGAGGGAACCTGCAAATAGGACAGTCTAGCTTGTTTAAAGTGTGAAGCAGAGGCTCTTTAGAAAAGAGCGCTGAAAGATACCAAGAACTTTGTACATAACACCATGCAGCCAAATTACAATGAGACTGAATGCAGGCCAGATGGGGACAGAAGAAGCTAAAAAAAGGGAAGGAGAGGATGATGGAGGAGTGGTTGCCATGGAGGGTGCTGCAGTTAAAGAAAGTCACCATAAAAGGAGATGAATGTGTCGGTGTTTTTTGTGTGTGTGTGTGTGTCTGCGCATGCTTTAATAGAATTGATTGTTATCGTTTCCTATGTTTTACTTAGTGTCAGGCATACTTAGGGTTTTAAGTATTATGCCTCTTGAGGCATCATCTTTCTTTGGTTTCATTCATTCCTATTCATTTGATGTATTTGTTTATTTATAGGTTTATTATTTCTGTTGAGAATTTAGTGTAAGCCTTTGTTTATATTATCATCATTATAATTGTATTGTTATTATTTATATTATCAATGTAGCATTCACATTTTTTGCCATTAAAAAAAAGTTATTTATTTATTTGTGTTTATTTAAATAAACGAGAAAGTGAAATGTACAGTGATTGGGGGTCATTGTATTAACCTGAAATGGCTTATTTTTCACTAAAGACTGGTTCACTGTACATTTATCCTGATTGTTACATAACTAATTACCAATTAAGTAAATAAATAGGCATGAAATGTTGATTTTAGAGTTTTTGTTCTCTTGCTTGTAGATGAGCTTCGAGCTTCTTTTAAAATGGAAAACAATTGTCCTAATAAAAAGATGAACACTAAAACAATATTAATTTACAATATTAATATATTAGTTCGAATTTTAATAATATTATAATAAAATATAAGTTAGATTTTCTATGGACTAGTCAGCTATCATTTTTATCTACAGTGTAATTTATCTACCTCTATTTTAAAGGGGTCATATGATGTTGCTAAAAAGAACATTATTTTGTGTATTTGGTGTAATGAAATGTGTTTATGCGGTTTAAGGTTCAAAAAACATTATTTTCCACATAATGTATATTATTGTTTCTCCTCTATGCCCCACCTTTTTGAAATGCGTCGATTTTTACAAAGCTCATCGATCTGAAAAGCAAGGTGTACTCTAATTGGCCAGCTTTCCAGAGTGTTGTGATTGGCCGAATACCTCAAGCGTGTGACGGAAATGTTACGCCCCTTACCATACTGTGATGCCTTGTCCCGGCCGGAGCGACGAGACAAAACCAATAAAACCCATTATAAACGAGGCATTTGTTGCATCCAGTGGGGACATAATTACGAATTATAATGACTTGTACTGTCTTTTTACGCTTTGCTTTGCATCGTGCTGCGTCAACATAAAACCATGTCTGTGTTTGTGATCGGAAAAATGACAAACTACAAACGCTACTCTACACTGCTCAAAACTCGCGTTTGAATCGTCAGTGGCAAATCCTTTAAATATGAAAACGTACTTACCGTCTGTGAGTCAGAACAGCCGGCATTGTAGTCTACTCTTCCAGGATCAGGAAACAGTCCTCCATAAAATGTGCTGCACACAAATGAATATTTGGGTTGAAGTGTTCTGGAACAGTGTTGTAAATACAACTTAACCATTGATTTCTAGTCGTGTCCTCTTTTGGAAGACCAAACAAAGTAGTTTCGCTTTCACAACGAAACACACAGCGTCAACATGGTGGCGGTGGCAGCAACAATAAAGTTCCGCTGCCTTTCTTTGCATGAACAGTTGGGCAGCGTTATGCAAATCTTCCCACATCGTGACGTAGACATGTGGGGGTGTGTTAGAACGAGCTGCTTTAGGAGGGCGTGGATGAGTCTTAACTTTTATAAAGAATATCTCTTTGGGTTTGAGACTTTAGTCTTTGCAACTTTAGGGATCTTATCTAGCTATCCAGTGCGTTGTGATTGGCCGAATACCTCAAGCGTGTGACGTAAATGTTACGCCCCTTACCATACTGTGATGCCTTGTCCCGGCCGGAGCGACGAGACAAAACCAATAAAAAATGGCTTGAAAACTTGAAATCGCATCATATGACCCCTTTAAAAGGATAGTTCCAGTGTTATTTCAGTATTTATATAGTAATATAGTATTAGTTAATATTTTGAATTAGCTTTTATATTTATATTTTCAGTTTTCGTAATTTTGCACTTTTTATTACTTTTTTTTATTTTTTAGTAATGTTTTTAAATGATTCTATATTGTTTTGTTTTTTTTATCTTCAGTCATTTTAGCACTTCGACTTTTGTTTACTATTCCAAAGAGCCATGAAACTGCGTATTTTCAGATATTGTGTACTCCGTTTTTTTTTTATTAGGTTTAATCTTTTACTTGTACTTTCATAAGGAAACTTATAAAGATTGTCTAGTAATACAAATTGTGTTTTTATGTCTCATTCAGGGTCGTAAGCGGTCTGGCACCGATACATCGGGCGGTGTTTGGCTTAGTACCTCCAGCTCAAAGCTCAACCAAATGTACGGAGTCAAAGCCTGGGCCAGCTGGGTGAGAATGAAAACGGGAGAGAGCGAACAGGAGCAGCAGTCCCGTAAGTTCACACATATGGGTCAGAACATGAGTCGCTACCTCTCCGTCTGCTTCGTGACTCACGCAGCATGTGTCGTTAATAAAGGTCACTGTCACAGTTAGTGTGTGACATTACACTGACCCACCATGTGTCTTAGCAACTTTTTCTTCTCCCACTGTGTCTTATTCAGGCGGCCCCATGACTATGAAGGAGGATTTGTTGCAGTGCACTTCTGCGGATCTCAGTTATGGTCTGTGCCGTTTCATCAAGGAGGTCCGCAGGCCGAACGGCGAGCCTTATGAACCCGATAGCATCTACTACCTGTGCCTAGGCATTCAGCAGGTTTGACCTTAAAAATAAATCATTTGCTCCTAAATCCAGCTTGATCTGTTATTACATCGTAACTTCAGATAAATGTAATATGTAAATATTTTATTTTGATTTTTTTTTTTTGATGGATGTTGTATTATATGTTCTAATAAGCATTTTAAGTGACACATTCTGTCTCGACTCAATTTTTAGTGTCTGCTTGAAAATGAGCGTCTTGAAAATATCTTCACGGATTCACTCTATAGTCAGTTCATCAGTGACATCACCACACTGCTGAAGGACTGGGGAAATATGTTGCCACCTGGAGGTAACCGTCCTTTTCAAAATCATCTCATTTTTGTCACACGCTGAAAAAACATCATTGATTATCACATATAATATAGCCTATTAACAAAACCAAAGTCCAACAAAAATTAAGACTAACCTTTCAGCCCATTTGAACAGTGCAGTAAAAGAAATGGCAGTTCTAGACACATCATCCAAAAGCTTATATTTTATTGGTCAAAAATATTTTCCGCGTTAATAAGCACAAACCTTAACTTAGAAAGTGACGTGACGTGACATGTGGCCAAGTATGGTGACCCATACTCGGAATTAGTGCTCTGCATTTATCCCATCCAAAGTGCACACACACAGCAGTGAACACACACACACAGTGGGCAGCCATTTTTTTTGCTGTGGCGCCCGGGGAGCAGTTGGGGGTTCGGTGCCTTGCTCAAGGGCACCTCAGTCGTGGTATTGAAGGTGGGAGAGAGCGCTGTACATTCACTCCCCCCACCTACAATCCCTGCTGGTACAAGACTTGAACCCGCAACCTTTGGGTTACGAGTCCGACTCTCTAACCATTAGGCCATGACTTACTTCCATACTTACTTGTATGCACACCAGCATATAAGAGGCTAAATGTTTACATGTAAAGCTGATTAGCTTAATACCTTGAAATGTCATGCATTACTCCAAATAAAAATGTTTTAATTTACATTTTGGTAATTATATTGCTATGCATGGTTTGACATCATTTAAATTGAGACTAAATAGAATATTTTTACTTTCAAAAATTACTTGTTTTTAAATACAACTGAACCAGTGTATTTTAGTATCATTAAGATGTTATTTATTTTTTTATTTAATTGTATTTTTGTTTTCATTTTAATTTAGTAAATTTATTTTGTAATTTTATTGTTTTTTTTATTTCAGTTTTAGTTATTTTAGTCATCAAATTAAACTAAATTAAACATGTTTTCTTGGCAACAGGCTGAAATTAAATAAATGTAAGGTTTATAATGTTTATTTTATCTATAATAACCCTGAAATTGAACTGAAATTGACTAGTAAAAAATATAAAAACTATGACTAGTTAAAAATTGTGAAATTCTTCATTAAAAAAACACCTTTCCTACTTTTTTTAATTGATGAAAAGTGACAGTAAAGACATTTATAATGTTACAAAAGATTTCTATTTCAGATGATGCTGTGCTTTTGAACTTTATATTCATCAAAGAACCCTGAAAAAATGTATTAGTGTTTCCACAAAAATATTAATAGTTTTCAACATTGATGATAAGAAATGGTACTTGACCACCAAATCATCATATTAGAATGATTTCTGAAGGATCATGTGACACTGAAGACTGGAGTATTGGCTTCTGGAAATTCAGCTTTGACATCTCAGGAATACATTACATTTTAAAGCATATTAACATAGAAAACAGTTGTTTTAAATTGTAATAATATTTCTGTTTCTACTGAATTTTGATAGAATAAATGCAGCCTTGGTGAAAAACATTTTAAAAATCTACCCAACCCCAAACTTTATATTTATTATTTTTTTGTCACTGGTACAAGATTAAAAAAATTCACTCTTGTTGTGAATATGCTTTTAAGCCAATCACGACGTCTGTTTTTCTGTTTCTTCAGGATATATAGACTCACGGGTTGAGGAGGAGTACCTTTGGGAATGCAAGCAGTTGGGCGCTCTGTCTCCGATTGTTCTGCTAAACACGCTGCTGTTTTTTGGAGCCAAGCTGCTCAACCTCAAAACGGTTGAAGAGCATCGACGCCTTGCATTCTCCAATGTCTCCCACTGCTCGAAGACCATCAAAAATGGCATGACCGCTTACCTTTGCTTCAAACTACCTGGCAAGGAAGAGGAGAAGGACAAAAAAGGTGAGGGCTGTGCTGAAGATGCAATGGCCACATAGTGTCGAAATCTTTATAGAGCTTCTAATCACGTGAGCGTGCATCTGTGCTCATAATATTTTTTGATTTGTGTTAATTGAACATCAAGCACCAGCTGGTAAAAGGAGGAGAGAGGAAGAGACGGTGGAAGAGGAGTTTTTGGAGATGCCCGAAAATGTGGAGAACCCCTTACGCTGTCCTGTCAGACTCTACGAGTTCTATCTCTCAAAATGGTGAGTGTTATTTTAAAGGGATAGTTCACCTGAAAATGAAAGTTGTCATGATTCACTCACCATTATATAATTCCAAACTTGTATGTTTTCAATGGGAACATGTTCAGTGAAAGTGGATGATAATTTTTTTACTGTAAAGTCGTCCTTCCTCTGCTAAACAGTTCAACTTCTATCTCATTTTGTGTTTTACAGAAGATTGAAAATAACACTCATTTGATATTTTGGAGTGAACTATTAATTGTGTAGTTTATTACTCTCCTCCTCATATCACATTTTTGTGAATTTTTGAGACTGCATTCGAAATATGCAGATCCTTGAATGATGCAGCTTGAGTTTTGCTTCATTCAAATTGCTCTTGCTTGGAGGAAAAGAGCACTTTTTCTTATGCTCTCAGTAGCAAGGCTTTATAATGTTCATTCTCTTGTATATCCACAGCTCAAACTCTGTGAAGCAGCGTCCAGATCTTTTCTACCTGCAGCCCGAGGCCTCTTGCCACCCCAGCAGCCCTGTGTGGTACTCAGCCCAGCCACTGGAGAGCATCATGATGGAGAGCATGCTCACACGTATCCTAGCTATACGGGACATTCACCTGGACTCTAAACATCAGCAAAAGGACCTGGACTCATCAGATGAAGAAAGCTCTTAATGAAAACCTACAAACTTTGATACCTTGCTTTAAAAAAGAGCTAAAAAAAAAAAAAAACATGAGACATTTAATGGCATCTACATATTACTTTTATTCAGACGGGAATGGAATACAAACAGAAATGAACGAAACTGAAACTGTGCACAAGCTCAACAGACATTCCTCAAGTCATTTATTCTATCATGAATGTTACAGAAAATGAAATTTGAAGGGGAATTGTTTGGTTTTTAGTCACAGTAGATATTGTTTCTCAGTATTTAGTATTATTTAGTGAAAGCTTTTTAAGTTTAAACATTCATCATGTCATTGTTGGTAACCTTTGAAAATATATATGAATTCTCATATGTATGACTGGTTTGCTTCTGGTACAATTTATAAGGGTTGCCCCTGATTTTAACCTGCTTTTTTTCACAATGGGTATTTTTTACACTTATTGACATGTAAAGGATCATTCACACTAAAAACAATTCGCAGCCACAAAACAGTATTAGTGATTTGAGCAACAGTTGGCGATACAAATTTATAATAACACTCCGCTATGAGAGGACAGACAATAAAGATAGAAATCCCATTGCATTTTAATGGACAAAAATTTGCATATTCCCATGTGTATAAAATGCACGGAAGAAAAAGACCATTTTGAATGTTAGTATCTGCTGAAATGAACTTTTTCTAGACCACAGACATACAAGTGGCCTCAAAGCTAATAGATGTCCTAAAAGCTCCAATTGTGATTTCACTGGGTCTTTAAGAAATAGATATTTAAAAAAGTACTTTTTCTGGCAATCAAGACCTTGCTTGGTTTCTGTAATTAGATGTCTCGCTTCTAGAAAAGATGTTAATGCAACATTTATGAGTGTGATGTATTTATGGATTCAAAGTGTCCTGTCTCAGTCAATAGAGGGCAGTCCTGCTTTGTTGGTTCAAGTGACAGGACTTTGACAGGGCAACAATAGGGAATCAAATAAGCAATGTTTAGCCACATGATTATGCTGATATTTGCACAGATAGATGCAGCGCCAGCCTACGATGTAAAGCCAATTGTCATTCGCTACCATGGTAACAGAGACAAGAGCTGTTGCTTGTGCTTCGCACTGGATTCTGAATGTGCTGCTGCTGTTGAAAATCATGCAATTCAGATATGAAAAGCACTTATACATATATATGCATTAGCCTTTAGTGATGCAATTATTGTCTAACTTAACCTGAACGTCCCACATCAGGACCTTTAATTTAGCCTCCAACTGACTTTCAGCATTGCCTGGCTAACATAAGGGGAGCAATATATAAGTGAGGCAGCTGAAGTATTTATATGTACAGTTGTTAAAGGGCAAATGCTGTTTGCCTGATCACTATATCTTCTACCAATTGTTCGTAAATGTACAGTTGGTCATGGCGTATCTCGGGGACAGATCACGTTTATATTGCCTGTTCAAAAAGAGTGTGGGCGTGCTCCGGGCAGATGAGGTGTGATTCAAGAGGGTTCGAGAATGAGAGGAGTGTGTGGGAGAGAGAAGTACAACAAAGACAGACAATCTGGCAGTGCATGACTGAATCGTTGTTTGAAAAACGTACAATGTCAAACTTTACATTTTTAAAAGCCATGCTGTTGCATAATTTGTGTTAACCATTTAATTTAGATGTACACCGATAAGACAAGGATATTGGCAAATGCAGATAACATCTGATGAAAATCTAAGCCATCTTATTAGAGGTCAAACCAAATTGAGATAAAAGTGACTGAAAGGAAATTAAATGAGCGAGGCAAAAAAAGTCCTAAGCTCCTGATAAGTGCTAAAGCCCTGAAGCATCCTCAGAACTCAGGGGAGGGAGCAGAGAGAGTGATAGTGAGGCAGTAAGAGAGAGGAGGGAGAGAAAGAGCTGCCGTTGGTGTTGAAAAAGAGGCTATTTATCAAACCAAATGTGTTTCTGTGTGACGAAGGACAAGACTCTGAGAGCTGAAAGATAATGCTGAAATACAGACTGGATGCCTGGATTCCTGTACACTTTTCACACCTGGACCACCAGCGCATAAGGGACTTGGACCAACCATCTGTCATCCAGCGATGCTATGATTGCTAGAGTTACGTCAGTGATTAACAACATGAAGAGAAGCAATGCAAAGAGACCATGGCGAAGTGTTATGCCACATTTGAATGAGGAAGGGAAGTGAGTTTTTGCTCTAATACTGTGCATTTTTGAAGTGTAAAGATGCTGCCTCAGGAGAATGGGAGCTCTAAATTTGGAACATAACTGCTTATATCTGGCTAAACAGAGCGGATAGACAGACATATAGCTTCATTATGTCAGTTTATGAATGAAAAGCTACTCTGTTTACATGAAAATGTAATGCTAACAGACTCACAAAGTTGCTTCCTTCCCGCTTGATGTTGCCGTCAAACTATTCATTTAAGGGAAGCATGTTTTATTTTTTGAATTTTTATTTCTATTTTCAGTGGAGATACTGAAGCCATTTCTTGGCTACTTGCCGTCACCAGAAAACCAGTAAGTTTCATAAAGTATTTTAAGTTTTTGATTAAAAAATGTCTGTCTCCAATAATTGCTAAGAAGACCTGGTACACATGCTCTGGCAACGTCATGCTATAGACTTCTGAAGGATTATATTGGAGGTTGTGTAGGAGGCCATCGTCAAGAAGTGACACAATGGGAAAGCCATTAAGTCGTCCCGGCTGCTTACGGCAGAGCCCTTGTTGTTCGAAAAAAGGGGATGACAGAGAGGGCTACAATGAAGATGGGTATATCCCTCAACGCTCCATTTATGACACAATGTGCATCAATGAACAGATCGACCACAGTTCGGCACACAGCACTCTGGGTTCAAGAAGGGGTCGAGAAAATGACTTCTCCAGTAATGGTTCCCTGGGAGCAGGTGGCGACATGTTTGACACAAGGTCTTCTGTGCTAGGCAGCAGTGGCAAAAAACTGGATGAGAGGTTCATTTTTGATTCTCTGAAATTAGCAAATGATGAACTGAGCAAGTCACCAAGAGGGTTTGTGAGGTCAGCGTCCCCCAGTGTATCCTGCAGCTCGGCTCCAAGCGGATCCATGAACAAGCGGCATCACCAGGACAGTGGCAAGAAGGACAACCTCTGCCGCCACTCCTGGAAGGTTTTGTCTCCACCAAAGTTCCCAGAAACATTTGAACACTCCCCAGGAGAAAAGACCTACTTAAACCCAGGAGTTGCCTTCTTTCCAAACAGCTTCAACTCCCCACAGATTTCACCCTTCTCTGGATCCCCTTTTTCCACTGGTACACATACACCTTCTGTGTTCTTCTCTCCCTCTCCATTGCCTTTCCATCAGCAGTTCAACAGGCCGTCTTTACCCACCCAAACGTCTTTACCAAGACCACCTCTGTCAGAGTTATCTGTAAGTGCCCTGATGTGTGGTCAAGAAGATCAAGACAAACTAGAGATTGGCCAAGTTATGAGGAACAATGGGGGCATGGCAAAAGATAATCTGTTTCTGACTTTTAAACCCCAGAACACTGAACCTGAGAAAGAACCGCCACCAACCACCCCAGAACCTGAAGCAGACACTACGCCACTTCTGCGCTCCCAAACATCAAAAAGACCTGCTGTCTCCCCTACACCGATGGAGTCCACCTGGCCCCGGCGACTGATTGGAAGGAGGAGGACAGTAAGACAAGGTGGTGCAGTACATAACCTCCCAATTCTTCCCCCACTACCCTCTCTGCTAATCCGGAGTGTCTCTGACAAAAAGACCATTCCTCGTCTTTCACCGTTCCCCGAGCACCAAGGAAATGGGGATGGGCAGCTCGGCAAGTCTACATTAACAAGAGATTTGAAGGATTGCTCTCTACAGGAATGGAAGCTCTTGCGGGATCAAGAAGAATGTAAAGCTGAAGCATCCAAATTTGAGAGTGTGATTCAGGAAGCTTTAGAAGAAGAGAGCAAAATGGTGTTCATACAGGAGAGCGTTGAGCCAGGCATTGATGAAAATACCACTCCAGAATGTGAGGAAGAGAACTGGGAAGCTGTGTTAGAGATGGTTAATTCACTTTGGGATGAGACATGGAATGAAGATTTGCAAAATATTGGCTCTCTAAGGCGCTGGCCTCTTTTACATCCTCCATCTGGGTTTGGTGGCTCACAAGCTCCATCAGGTACAAGCTCAGAACTGGGTGCTGAAGATATGTTGGAGATTGAGAGAATGAACCAAAAAGTTGTGGAAAGCCAAGATGACGACGAACCACAATTTCAGTATAATTTACAAACATGTGAAGGTGAATGTAATGTTATTGTGACTCAGCCAGGGAGCCTTAAACTTGCTCATGAAAAGATCCCAACCAGTTTAGATCTTGCCACCATTGACGCCCAAACGGGAAACAAATATGGCCATAGCGAGTCACCAGATTCCAACCTGACGCTAGACTCAGATTCGAGTGGTGTCTACATGTCAAATCCCAGCCAAACCAGTAGAGAGGACATCACTTCTGATAATGACAGAGCTATGTCAGATCTTGGAAGCATCACATCTCTTAATCAAGGGATAGAGGGAAAAGTCAATGTCAGAAAGACTGAGACATACTCTTCAATGCCAAAAGCAAATAAATTAGCAACTTTTAACAAAAAAGATCCCGCTGGGCTGAGAGCTAATAGCATAGAGCTAAGAAGGCAAGCATTTTGTAAAGAGATTACAACTAAAGCTACAGAAATAAAAGCACGCTTGAAACCTGTGGACACAGGATCTCAAATCCAAGAGATTCATAACACTGTGAACACATCAAAGACTGATGTGCCTTTACCGCTGTCCCCTTCCAAACATGAAGCTAAAGAAACGTTATTAGTCAAGAGCGATGCAGATTCATTTGTTGCCACAGATAGTTTTATCTACCTGGCAGTGTCAGTGCTGCCCCCAACCACACAGGAAAACGTGACCAAACCTGCACTGGAGGAGCCTTTGCCTCCGACTTCCTTTGCCAAACCTTGCCCTTACCCTGATGAATGTGATTTCCTCTCTACAGATAGTTTTGTTTACCTGGCTGCTCCTGACTGCCACCTGCTGGTAACAGAGGGACATTCGGTATATGACTACAAAGATTCTGAATCAGAGGACAGCAGTTCTAAGGCAGACTTTGTTCTGGCCTCGGCTGTAGGAGGAGATAGCGACTGGGACTCAGACCTGACTGATTCTGAAGCCGAGCCAAACTCTTCCAAGCCTGCGTGGGACTACTGGGAGGAGCTAGAGCAGGGGGTGCTGCCGGAGCTATTCGGCGAGGACCAATCGGATGCAGACAAACTGCTCCATGGCAACCAAGCTCAGCAGATTTCCTGCCAGCCTGGGGAGTTGGCTGCTATTGCTGTACAGGAGAGAGCTGAGTTGGAAGAGGTGTCCTCACAGTACACACAGGGGGCAGAGACACACACTGAGGTGAAGCCTGTATCTTAACTCTTATTACTGCACTGGCAAACCTATTATATTAGAGCCCATTTAAGAATTCTAAACATCATAAACAGGTATTTTAGTTTTTGTTTTCCTTTCTTTCTCATTATTTAATAATGTACATGTTATGACTCCAGCATCTATCAGTATTCACAATACAATTTGGATGTGTTCTTGATAGCAGTTTTGTTGAAGCACAGTTTAAGTCTCTCTTTTAAGCTACATTTCTGTTTTAAAGTTTATGTCATGGTGGACAGCTTTATGGATTTATTGAGTTGTTATTGATTTCAATGTTATGTTGACCAGTAAGTATTTAAGTTAACTGATATGTCTGGCTATTAATAGGTGATTGTGGATGCAATATGACTATCAGAGATCAAGCATAGGAGCTTAAAATCTATTGCACACTAATTTTATGTCAATAATAGATAATCTATTTGCTATATGCTGTGTGCTCTGTATAACAATAAGTGCTATATGTTACTGGGGTAAATTTTAAAGAACTGAGTGTGATAATGTGCTGAATGATGAATAGCAAATAGGCTGAAATTTTGACCATCAATAAAGGAGCACAGTTTATAGCACAAATAATGCTTAATATTCAGTAGTATTTAAGTTAACTGATATGTCTGGCTATTAATAGGTGATTGTGGATGCAATATGACTATCAGAGATCAAGCATAGGAGCTTAAAATCTATTGCACACTAATTTTATGTCAATAATAGATAATCTATTTGCTATATGCTGTGTGCTCTGTATAACAATAAGTGCTATATGTTACTGGGGTAAATTTTAAAGAACTGAGTGTGATAATGTGCTGAATGATGAATAGCAAATAGGCTGATGTAGAAATTTTGACCATCAATAAAGGAGCACAGTTTATAGCACAAATAATGCTTAATATTCAGTAAATATGTGTGCTTAACTCAGTTGTCATGGTGGACAGCTTTATGGATTTATTAAGTTGTTATTGATTTCAATGTTATGTTGACCAGTAAGTATTTAAGTTAACTGATATGTCTGGCTATTAATAGGTGATTGTGGATGCAATATGACTATCAGAGATCAAGCATAGGAGCTTAAAATCTATTGCACACTAATTTTATGTCAATAATAGATAATCTATTTGCTATATGCTGTGTGCTCTGTATAACAATAAGTGCTATATGTTACTGGGGTAAATTTTAAAGAACTGAGTGTGATAATGTGCTGAATGATGAATAGCAAATAGGCTGAAATTTTGACCATCAATAAAGGAGCACAGTTTATAGCACAAATAATGCTTAATATTCAGTAAAATATGTGTGCTTAACTCAGTCTATAAAGTTTAAATTCAGCACAGGGAGAGTTGTTTCACCTGTTAACACATTGCAAAGGACATGTGTTCTGCCTGAGTTGTCAATAAATCAAATGTGGAGGATCAAAGTCTTCATTTTGTCACTTAATTTATTTTTATTCTTAGCTGTTTACTTAGCATGCTTTTGGATAGCCTTCTCAGGCTCCACCCACCTTCAGCCTCCTTTCCATTGCTCCATCTGTCTCATGGCCTATATATATATATGATTTCTCATGTGAATTATTTGGGATCAGAGTGAAGGAGCCTGAAATTCTGGTGGTGTTGTAGGGGCCAAATGGGCTATTTTTAGTTAAATTAATTAGTTCAGTGAAAATGAGGCCAAACCGAATGCATTGTGTGCCAAGATAATGCATAAGTGGGTCGAGTGTCAGCGAATGCACTATATGTCTATGCTGCTGGGGTGCATGGGATTTTGCTGCCGCCCACCGTTGTTCCTCAGTAACCTACATTATGCTAGTTTTGTTCCATTTGTAATGCATAATATCACAACATCACTGTTGTTCCTGGGTCCAATCTGAATCTTTTGGCCTCGATTGAATATTCTGCAGCAGCACATGACATAAATTCCCAGCACTATGATGTCTCTATTATGTGTTTTAAAACAGTTTCAAAATGGATTTGAGAATTCTTAACAAGTTTGGGCAAAATCATAATTTAAAGCTGCAGTCCGTAACTTTTTTTGATTAAAAATTATCCGAAATCAATATTTGAGCAAGTACATAACCAGCCAGTGTTCAAAACTATCGCCTTACTTCAGCCCAATTCACAACAGTTATCTTATAATAAAGTTTTCTATTTTGAGTGGTACGTGTAGGTTTTCACGGGAAATTCGAGCATGGCACTGCGTCAGTACGTCACGTTGGTAAACATAAAGAAGTTGTCCCGGCTACTAGGCTATCGCATGTGAGGATACTGCAGGTGGCCAATCGTTTATAGCCTTTTCTCACAGCAGCCAGAATAATTAAATTTATCATTTTGATGGCGGATTGTAATCCATAAAGTATTATGTGTTTATGAAACACATGTGAATGAAATTAAATTCTATTTGAGTTATAAATGTGCTTCTGATTACACATAGCCTGGGATTACAAAGATTTGTATTTTAAAGAAAACCAGTTCGAAGGGAGCATAATTTGCCTTTTGGGTTAAAAGAATTTCTTAATATGAAATTCAAAGAGTATGACAATTAGATTAGACTGTACAGAAATTGAAATCTACACGTTAATACACACTATACTCATAGTCACTAATGCTGATGTTGTTAACATTAATAATCTGAGAATAAAGTATAACAATAATAATAATTTGAATGGTTTGATGTGATATGAGCTAACCGATCCTTAGATTTAATCACCATTGGTAGCGAGAGTAGCATTGCTTTTTTCCTCAGTTGGTCAGAACAAACGTGGCAGACTTGTTACTTACTTGTTCAGATGGCAATATACAGTGAAAATTCTTATTTGGGTCATATTCCAAGGCTTAGGCTAGAATCTGTGATTGCGAAGTACAGTAAATATCCACACTTGTGCGGTGACTGACTGCCACACATACTTTTCAGAACATTAGATTCATCCGCACTGGAGCCGTGCTGCCGCACAACCCACACAAGCTAGATAATTCCGCACACAGCTACAATTCCAGGTTTTCAAACAGAGATGGCGACAAAGAGGCAAAACTTACAGACTGCAGCTTTAAGAACTCTCCCTTTCAATTCATGAGTATGGAATAGTATGGAACGATATTCCGGACAATTAGCATTTCATACTACTCTATGTTATATATATCTATATATTTATATATGGCAGAAAAAGCATGCTAATAGTATACTAATGTGCTGTATAGCCATAATATTTGAAATAAATTGGCCCCACCCCTCAGAATATTGAATTGGAAAGATGGGAAGAGAAAATCAACATGTTGTTACAGTTATACAACAACAAAAAGGGCAAGAACAGAAAGATGGTCTACTCTAAGCTGCTTGTAACTTGTAAGCTGCTTTATGTTGTTTGGTTCCATCTTGAAGATTTGGGGGTAAACTAAAGCATTCTTGGAAATGACATGTTCTTTTACCATGTTTAATGGACCAAATTATATATTGTTTATAGAATTTATGTTGTATAATTTATTTAGTTTTTGGACACTACTGCTCAAATGTTTGGGGTTGGTAAGATTCTTTTAAATATTTTTGATCAATATTACAGTAAAATAAATAATAATAATAATAATAATAATAATAATAATAATAAATATTATTACAATTTAAAATAACTATTTCCTATTATAATATTTTTTAAATGTAATTTATTCTTGTGATGGCAAAGCTGAATTTTCAGCAGCCATTACTCCAGTCTTCAGCGTCACATGATCCTTCAGATATAATTTTTATATGCTGATTTGGTACTTAAGCAGAATTTCTTATTACTATCAATGTTGAAAACAACTATGCTGCTTAATATTTGTTTTAAGCATGATACATATTTTTCAGGATTATTTTTATGAATATAAAGTTCAAAAGAATGCATTTATTTGAAATAATTATATTTGCAATAATGTAAAAGTCATCGATTTAATCAATTTAAGGCATCTTTGCTGATTAAAAAAGAAATATGTTCATTTAGTTTCCAAAAAATACATACAGATTTCTCTGAGAAATATTGGATAAATTATGACATTTTTTAATAATTATTCATATCTAATGTTTCTGGAAATATCCCATATGTACTGTTAAAAAACCCTTAACTTAATGCTATTTCCTTAAACTAAAATTACACATACAGTTCTGTTTCTGTTTGCTACCTTAATCCAAATTCAATTCAAATTTGAGAATTGAATATGAAACATTCTCAATAGAATTCTGAATGGCGCATAACACTAAAACATCATTTAGCAGTAGAGAAGCAATATGGCGAAATGTGTATGAGTCTGTGATGGTATTTCTAAATGTGTGTGTGAGCTGGTTTGAGTTCGTGAGTGGGATGGATTGTTTGCTGTGTGCATTTGAGCCGAAGCCAGGGCACATGTGTAGGAGGAGCAGCACAGAGTGAGTGAATCATACATTAGGACATTTGCTGTATTATTTCTGGTCAGTGTGCTGAAGATTAAAAGATCATCTGCAGGTTAGAGACGTGCCAGTGCTTGGAAATTGTTCAGGTTGGATAAAATGCTTAGGATGAAAGAAAAATGAGAAAATGTTTTGTTCTCACATTATCATTGAAATACATTCAAATAAATATACACTAAATCAGTTTTTTGTTGCCTCGGTGTGTAGTGTGTGAGTGAGATAGAAAAGGTAGGAGGGATGTAATCACTGATTGCCTAAGGCAAAAGATCAAGAGTTGCTCCTTATGTAACATGTAAATGAATGTGCACTGGGCACTGTGTGCTAAACAATTTTATACTGGAAAGAGTCGGGTCTGGTCTTTTAGATGGTTGCGGTGCTGCTTGTTGCATCATGAAGTATTTTAATATACGCTTTCCAATGAGATAAAACATTTCGCAGATACACATGAAGATGCAGAGAGCAGAGGAGGTCACCATGAAGAGAGTGAAGATTTTCTTCTCTGTGGGACGGGAGATGAAACAATCCACTGTATTCGGACAAGGATCCAGCGAACACTTTATGAGGCGACGGAGGTCATATCCTTTATACACGTGATGAAGAATATAGAGAAAGGCAGCATCAGCTGTGGCTTTAAAGATCAAGCTTAACAGGTAGGTCCACCAAAGACCCCCACGCTTTTTCCCAGGGTTGGCGTATAAATGGGTGCCCTCGTGGACGGTCGTGTACTTCTTGTCTTTTTCCTCTCTGTATTTGACGTGGGCTACGACCAACAGCGACGGACATGTGACAAAGATGAGCTGTAAGGCCCACAGACGGATGTGAGAGATGGGGAACGTGCTGTCGTAGCAGACGTTGGTGCAGCCGGGCTGCCTGGTGTTGCAAATGAATTCTTTGCTCTCGTCGCCCCAAACGCTTTGAGCTGCCACCACAAACACCAGAACACGAAACACAAACACCACAGACAGCCAAACTCGACCAAACACTGTAGAATATTTATTGACCCCGCTAAGAATGTCCTCCAGTCCTGACCAGTTCATCCTTGATCACAAACTATGTCCTGAAATAAATACAATTACATATGAAACTCAATACTTTTGCACAATGACAAGGATAAAATCACAGAAACAGGCCATTCTAGTTTGGGTCAGTGAATCTCCTGACAACTGGTGTCATGAAAGTATGGCCTAAATTTAACCAAAAAGCTAATGGGTTTTCATCATGTCATTTTTTGTGTTGCTGATTATCTTTTTAATTAGCCAGTGGAGATTTTGTCTCCGATTAATATTTAAACTCCGGAGGCGTTCAGCCATGCATAACAGGTACTCCAGATTGTTTCCAAAACTCTAATCAAAAAGTTTGCAAAATCTGATTCTGTTCTGTGTGCTTTAAATGGACGTTATGACAGGTAATCTTATAATAAGGGTTTTTGCAAACACAAGGGTGACACATTTAAATATATAAAAAGCAGGTGTTGACATACATTTCCAAACAGGGTTTCACCTGCTCATTATAACGCCTTGCTGTTTTCAATTTGCAGGCAAAAATGTGGATTTGTCATGCTGGATCACACCTGGGTTTGTCACAGCTAAGATGTCTCATAGCTGCTCCAACATGTTTTTAACATTTTTGTAATAATACGTAAAAACATAAATAGTGTGTGTGTGAATATTTACACTACCGTTCAAAAGTTTGGGACCAGAAGGATTTGTAATGCTTTTTAAAGAAGATTTTATGCTCATCAAGGCTGCATTTATTTGATCAAAAATACAGGAACAAATTTAATATTGTGAAATATTATTATGATGTAAAATAACATTTTCTATTTTAATATACATTAAAATCTCATTTATTTCTGTGATCAAAACTGAATTTTCAGCATCATTACTCCAGTCTTCAGTGTCACATGATCCTTCAGAAATCATTCTAATATGCTGATTTATTATCAGTGCTGGAAACTGTTGTTTTTTTGGAACCTGTGATACTTTTTTTCAGGATTCTTTGATGACTAAAAAGTTAAAAAGAAGAGCATTTATTTAAAATGGAAATATTTTCTAACAATATACACTACTGTTCAAAAGTTTGGGGTCAGTACATTTTTATTCTTTCTTTTTTTTTGAAAGAAATTAAAACTTTTATTCAGCAAGGATGTGTTAAATTTATAAGAAGTGATAGCAAATATTTATATAGTAAGAAAATATTTCTATTTTGAATAAATACTGTTCTTTTTAACTTTTTATTCATCAAAGAATCCTGAAAAAAGTATCGCAGTTTCCAAAAAAAAAAAAAAATTGGCAGCACAACAGTTGCCAACATTGATAATTCTAATAATAAATCAGCATATTAGAATGATTTCTGAAGGATCATGTGACACTTTAGACTGGCGTAACGGCTGATGGAAATTCAGCTTTGCATCACAGAAATAAATTATATTTTAAAGTATATTAAAATAGAAACCATTATTTTATATTGTAATAACATTTTGCAAGATTACAATTTTTTTCTGTATTTTTGATCAAATAAATGCAGCCTTGATGATAATAAGAGACTTCTTTAAAAACGAATAATCCTTCAGAAATCATTATGCAGTGGCGTTGCTTAATTATTATTATTATTATTATTATTTGTATGATACATTGTTTTCAGGATTTTCTGATGAATATAAAAATAGTATACTTGTATAAACAAAATGATACAACAAAATACCCCTTTTTTTATTAGTCCACTTTGTGCTTCTAGCCACATATACGCGTACTAACTAAAATGTAGTATTTTCATGTAGTTTCTTACAATTCCTATGTTGATAAGACATATCTTTGTTTGGTAGCTACTCAGTAATAACTAATAAGTAGCTACTAATAAAAGAAGCATACATAAAAGAAGATCTTACCGTGTTTTGCCACAAAACTGATTGACATTGAAACAGGAAGCACAAAAAGAGAACAAAACAAAAAGCACAAAAAGAGGGAAAGATTGAACCTAAAGTAAAATCCCTTAAGAAATCCTGTCCAACCTGATCTATGGCTTAGTCACCATCATACCTGAGTGTATGGTTTACTCATATGAGACACCTGTGTTGATGGAGCTGCTTTAGGAGGGTGTGGTGCTGGAGGGTGGGTGCTGCGTGCTGTTCATTAGATATGATCTTACAGACAGGGACTGTAACGTGAGTTGGCCTTCACGGATACATTTTGAAGCCTTGCAGCCTTGTCGTGTGTCATCACCACACCCAGCAATCTGCAAATATTATATAATACATGAAAACACATGACATTTTTCTCTAAGATCATTTTTTAATCATTAAGATCAATTTTCGAAGCAGATTGCAGGTAGGCTATACAATTTGATCAGTTTTGGCTGTTAATGGAAAAAAGGAGTAATACATGCTTTAACTCTTTCTCACCAGAAGGTGGTGACAACTTCATTTTTAAAATCTATGCTGTGAGCTCCTTCTTAAAGTCCCCCTGTAGTGAAAATCAAGTTTTTTCTATGTTGTTTATTTGTCTTTATGGTGTTTTTAATATGCTTTTAGACAAACATGTGCCAATCTATTAATCAACACCATTGTTGAGTATTTTCTCCTTAAAACTAGTTTCCCAAAGAGCCCTGGGTTTGCTACGTCACAAACCAATAACCAATCACGTCAAGGGATCGATTCCTATCACTAGCATGCAAAATATACCGATACCAGCACAAAACCAAAAATAAATCAGAGCAAAAAACTCATGAAGCTGTGGTTTAGTGTGAATTTAGAACCGCTAACTTGCATTATAACCCGTGGCAACAGTGTAAAAGTAGCCCGCGGGCGCGAATTAACAATCACAAACGGCTGCATTCGAGTCTTCAAGGCATTTTAGGACACAACATCGTCAAGTAAGTACCTTTAACGAATGTTACAGTATTCACTGTAGTTGTCTGCTAGTAAAAACATAGTTTTATCAGTCATTATCCGTGTATGCCATTGTTTTGCGGTTACTACAGTTCAGTGGATCAGGAGGCGCTGGCTGGTGTGTGACTGAGTGGAGGCGGGGCTAATTTGCATATTCATAGCTCCGCGTATAGTAAATGAGGCAAGGGTGTAGAGTTACATTCAAGCTATTTTAAGGCATGAGAAAATTATTTTCACAAGAAAAAACATTTAAATATGTCATTTTGATGTTCAAAGATAAGTTTTAAGGGATAAAATAATTTACTACAGGGGGACTTTAAATATTTTAATAAATATTTTAATGATATGTGTGGCCATTTGATAGGTTATATGGTTATTTTTACGTTATAAAGACATTTGTACTATCTAATTTCAGAAGAAGAATGAGTTTTTTTTTTATAAATTCACATAAACATTATTTTATATTAATTCATGCTTATTTAATTTAAAGTAAATCATTTTATCTACCACCGAAACTTTTTATATATACTGTAATAATCACAAACAACTCTTAAAATGTATAGATGTTAGAAGAATCAACGCGATTGGAACAGACCGATTATTAGCGGATAAAAAGGTAACATGTAGCCACTGTGTTCGTTCGAATGTGAAAGGTGCCGTTTTATTGGCCACGTGACTGCGGTCAGCCAATCAGCGGTCATCTGTCGCCTGGCTACGGGAGCTCTATGGTCGGGGAGAGCTAGCCGGCTAGCAGCGTCTCTCAATCCTTTCTCTCTTTGACACGGTATACATATCTACCGTCAGCTCTTTGTAAGTATCTATATGATATTATATCTCATTTTATTCTGTCATTAATAAACATCTAGATGATCGATGGATTGTGAACTTGTGCGTGTCTTTAAATATATACGCGTTTAGCAGCTCTAACATACGCTAGTCGGACAAGAGCCAACTAATCGCGTAAAAACATGGGGCTTTATAACAATTTTTTGCCATTGTAACGTAATTATACTATATTATATATAGTGTAAATGTGTATTAATGACTTGAACTGTCAGATAACAACAATGCTCTTTGTAAATAACATCTATTTTTATAAACGCCTTAAAATTCACACAAAAAGGCAGTGGGTCTTATGGGCCTGGTGATTTACATGTGGATATTAATAAACTTAGTATTTTATGAATGTGTGTTTTTAATTAAATGGTTGTTTAATCCGTCCTCCACAAATATAGATGAATGTGTGGTCAGCAAATGTACCCCATTGTGTTCCATGCAATTATTTTTCTGATTTAAAAGAATAGTTAACCCAATTTTGCTTTTGCCGTTTACTCTCTCTCGCATGTCGTTCCAATCCAAAATATGATTTTCTGTCTTCTGTGGAGCACAATACAAAGAGACATGTTAGTCAGAATGACGTTCTCAGTCACCATTCACTTTCATTGTATGGGAAAATATGTAATAAAAGTGAATGATGACAGATGCTGTCATTCTGCTTAACATCTCTCTTTGTTTTCCACAGCAGAAAGAAACTTTCCTGGATTTGGAGGAACATGAAGGTGAGTAAATGACAGATTCTTCATTTTTGAATGAACTGTCCCTTTAAGAAAGAGATAATGGTCAAAAATAGACAGTATGGGCAGTGGTGACTGAGATATGTGTCATACAGTCATAGGAATGTGTGTATGGGCTTTGCAAATTTATATCCACCTTTTTAAGATTCATCTGATGGTGTATTAGCCTAATATTATTTATATTTTATAACATAAGTCTGTACTAGAGTCCGACCGATATATCGTTTTGCCGATATTATCGGCCGATATGAGCCTGTCGCCGATATATCGGTATCGGCGAATATGCCGCCGATATGATTTTTTTTTTTTACAGAACATATAATGCAGATAAAATGCTTGAAATGGTGTAATTACTTAGTTTGTCCAGCAGAGCGCGCTCCATTGTTTGCTACTGGCGACCTGGATGAAACGCTTTAAAGCTTAAGTCAATAGAAAACCATTGAAACTTTGAACGGCCATATCTCCTTAACGGCACGGCGAATCCGCACCAAATTCGGGGGATCTCTTCAGCTCAAGGAACCCTCCCGAATGTGAATCGAGTGTACGTCTCGAGGCCCTCTTTCGAATGAGACCACCCCCGCGTGGATAGCTCCCGGGGTTCGGGAGTTACGGGTGGTTAAATTTGCGGTCCGGCGCAGACCGATCTAACGATCCCGGGGGGCTACCGACGCGCGGAGGGTGGCGTTCGAGAGGCCACGCCGCACTGATGCAGTAATTCATGCAAAAGGAGGCCCAACCAAGTATTGAGTACATGTACAGTAAATGAACATACTTTCCAGAAGGCCAACAATTCACTAAAAATGTTTTTTTTTTATTGGTCTTATAAAGTATTCTAATTTGTTGAGATAGTGAATTGGTGGGTTTTTGTGAAATGTGAGCCAAAATCATTATAATTAAAAGAACCAAAAACTTAAACTACTTCAGTCTGTGTGCATTGAATTTATTTAATACACGAGTTTCACAATTTGAGTTGAATTACTGAAATAAATGAACTTTTCCACGACATTCTAATTTATTGAGATGCACCTGTAGCACCAGTCAAATGTTTGGACACACAAATGGGAAAGTGTCCAAACTTTTGACTGGTACTGTACTATAATATACACAAAGAATATCGGCCGATATATCGGTATCTGCCTTTTTTAAACTCCCTAATATCGGTATCGGCCCCAAAAAACCCATATCGGTCGGGCTCTAGTCTGTACTAACACAAATAGACATACATTAGCTCTTTTCCTTTTCCATTCTTGACTTGTTTCTTTAAAAATAATATTAACAGTTTGGAATGAAGAACAGTCTTGTTTATTTCTTGTTTTATGTTGATTATCTTCTCTAGGTGCAAAGTAGAGACAGTCACGAATGGTGAAGATAGAATGCAGAGTTCTCAACTTGTTTTCTGTTCACTTATTGAAAGTAAGTGCATGATAGGCGATATATACGTAAACCGACTGATAAATATTTTCCATGTATACCACCGTGTTATAATGTTGTACAAGACCTGTATGCTTTTATGATGAGAGTTCATAATCCATCCAATGGCTGAAGTCAATATATGTGGTGGAATGAGGTCTCTCTTCAGCCGTAGGGTTTATCCAGTAATCATTTGGTGACATGTTTGGTTCACTGCACTAACTTGCTGGTTGTGATGTGCCTTAGGATCCACTGCCCTGGTTATTGATTGGTCACCGTCCTTTTTCTTATTCCAGGCTGCACATTTATGGCGTTTGTCAGTGTGAGTGGAGACTTCTGCCAGGCACAGCACCTGGTCATTGTAGACAAGTGAACAGAGGTCCTGCCGTATGAAGATTATACTACCTGACTGCCCGTCTTAAATTCTGCCCTTTCGGGGAGCATCTTTTTTTTTGTCCAGAGTTAACGTGTATGAATCGGTTTGAGCCAATCCAGGTACTAGAGAGCGAATCGTTCTTTCTCTTTAGTGCCAACTGATCAGCTCTCCTCTCCTGAATGGGGTAATTATAAATTGCGAATCAGAAGGATAGTCCCCTTCTTTTAGTTTTTATTTTAAAGCTGTGGGAGCGTGAAAGTGGTCTGCTTCTCCTGTGTCCCTTTTTTTTTTTTTGAAAACCATTATTTCTACCCCTGTAGAAGATTCAGAAGTTGTTTTCATCAAGTCCAGTTAATACTTCATTTGAGTGTCAAAATGAATCGCCCTGCTCCTGTTGAGATCACCTACGAATGCATGAGGTTTCTCATCACCCACAATCCCACCAATTCACAGCTGGCCAAGTTTACAGAGGTAATACTCAAGATGGAAACAGTTGATATGGATAGTAATATTAACACGAGGGTCAGAGCTGAATTTTTTTTTTCTTTTGTCAATATCTTTTAGGAACTAAAGAGTTTTGGAGTGCAGACGCTTGTTCGGGTTTGTGATGCAACTTATGACAAAACACCAGTGGAAAAAGAAGGCATTGAAGTTTTGGTGAGCAATTAACCTTTTTAAATATTTTAAATATAATAAGATTCTGACAGAATTTGGTATTTTGTGATTATCACAGAGGATTGTTTCTTTGTTTTATTTAATGTGAAAATGTGTTTTCCTTTAGGATTGGCCTTTTGATGATGGTTGTTCGCCCCCTGATCAAATTGTTGACGACTGGTTGAACCTTCTCAAATGTAAATTTAAAGATGAACCAGGCTGTTGCATTGCAGTACATTGCGTTGCTGGATTGGGACGGTAAGTATCATCAGGACAAATCTGATTCAGTCAGGTTCACACTAGGGCTGTGCGATATGGACAAAAAAACCTATCGTGATTTCTTTGATCAATTTTGCAATTTCAATTTTAATCACGATTTTGACACACACAGACATGCTTTACAGTCATTAATGCATTCAGTGTGAATTTGAAACATATTTCCAAAAGAAAACCAATTAGAGCTTTATCAAAAAGCTGTAACATGTCTCTAGAACAGACATAAGGCAAAATAATCACTAAGTAAAGGTGTAGCAAAATGTCTCTAGAATAGACATATGGCAGAAAAAAAAAATCCTGTGTCCAGGGATTTTTTTTGCCATGCATTGGTCATAGAGCTCTTTGTGGCGTTGCCTCAGATGTTTAACTAGATTTGTTGCGCCATGTTCACACGTACTCCGTCTGCAGTGCGTATACAGTTTCTGAAAATGCTTTTTCAGCATTGTTATTCTCTTTTATAACAGTACAGTAAAACAATCTTTCATAGACATATTCATGTTTAAACTCAATAAATATAACTTTAACTACCACCACGAGTGCCATCTATTATTGCCTTGTTTATCTAAAAGTGCACTTTTCCTTGCTTTAAATCTTGCCAAAAAGCCATGTGTTGACTGTGAAACAGTAGACTTTAATTATATGCATTTATAGTGTAATTACTCAATTTCCATGTCAATCCATGTTAATTTTTACCGCAAATAATGTGCTGTCACTTTAATTCAGCGTGTGCAGAACAGCAGAAATAGATTCCGTGTGGAAACGATTGCAGCATGACTGCTGCAGACGCACCATTCCTGCAGCGCACTGCCGGACCGCAGTCGCGTGCAGTGTGAACGCTCTGATCCGTTAACATGGACACGGAAAAAATACGCACCACAGACGGAGTGTGAGAACCTGGCGTTACGTTTGTATGCCCGCCCGGTCTGTTCTGTTCTCGTGCTCCATTTAGGCGCACTGCATTCTGATTGGTTCGGATAGCATACTGTGGGAGGTCGGGGGCGCAGAAAATCGTGCTATAAAGTGATTTAGAAATCGCGCAAGCTCAAATCGCGATTTTATGACGATTTCGATTAATCGCACAGCTCTAATTCACACACACAGATATGAAGTGTTGGTTTGTGTTTGTCTGTCTGTAGCTCACTGAGATATATTACGCTGTGTCATTTTTGAGTTATCTTGGACCTGATGTGCAGAAATATGTCGTTCTTTTGGAACATTTTGTGCTGTAATGGTGTGAACCTCAGCATTTATCTAAATCAGTCAGAGAAATTCCTGGTCAGTAACCAAGTGTCATGAATCATGACGTATTTTAAATAGTTTTAAATGAGAACAGCTTTTTTTGTGTGTGTGTTCAGAGCTCCTGTCTTGGTGGCCATAGCCTTAATCGAATGCGGGATGATGTACGAAGATGCTGTCGAGTATATTCGTCAGTGAGTCACACAATCAAAGTTTTCATTTTTCTATGGAATATGATTTGTTTTTGTCATTTTGTGATGTGACCGATCATTTTTCTTTTTAGGAAAAGGCGTGGGGCTTTTAACGCCAAACAGCTTATGTACCTTGAAAAATACAAACCCAAGATGCGCCTGCGCTTCAAGGATGCCAATGGTCAAAACTGCTGCATTCAGTAAATAAACATTCATCCAAAGGATCTTTGGAAACGACTGATATAATTATTATTGTTAGTGTTATGATCCATTTTTGTTTGATTACTATATTGGACCAGGATTTTGCTGTACTACAGTGCCAAGCACACAAGCAGGTTATGCAGTAGTGTTTTTTTGACCAAACAGTCTAGCCAATCTTGTAAACTCACAGGCAGGTCTCGCTAGTGATGTTTTTCATTGTGGCAAACACATTGGTATAATGATTGAGTGCAGTTGTTAGTGTTTTATGCCCTATCTAAAACTAGGTGTCCCCAGTTTTCTGGATTGTGTAACAACATCCTGCGGTGATCAGCATCCTGCTGTAAGTGATCTCACTTTGTTGGTGCTTCTCTTGAAGTCTGTCAGCTTCTCCAAAGTTACATGGGCACCTCTACTGTATCTAATGTTAGAGATATTAAACATTCCAAGAGATTCATAGCTCTGATGGATACTAGATTATGGTTGTCAGTAAAACGGACAGATGAATGAAATCCTAGATAATCCAATCAACAAAACTTCCTCTTCAAACTGATTGTGAAATGAGTCAAATTCACAGAATTAAAAAAAAAAAAAATCCAATTATTTTATTTTTGGTGTAATGTTTTTTTTTCTCTTCACTTAATGCTGGTGGAAACCTGAAATTTTGGCAGAAATGGACATCTGATACACTGTAGTATGTGCAAGAAACATTGTATTCGATGTCTGTAATACAATAGAAACGTAATGTATATCATGGTAGTGAATATTTTTTCAATACTCATGTATGGTGTAAAGCAATTCAAATTCCACGAATCTGATTCTTGAAATCAGATTTAACATCCTTAATTATGTATATTATTAAACATGAATGAGTAAAGCAGTTAAGTCTATATATGTGTAATAATACAAGATGCATCATATATTTACTAACAAAAAAAGTACCATGGTATTGCCGTGTTTTTAAACATGTCCTTTGGCAATATGAAAAAAAAGATGTCAATCTAATACAAAAAAATATATCTATTTTTTTTTTTTACAGAAAATTTCTTTTTTCAGTTTTTTTTCCCCGCCAAATGAAGAGAATATTCGTGCAATTTCTAACGTGTGGACTTTCGGTGGTGTTTTCTTTTCTTGACCACGAGTCGGTGCAATGCATATTGACTGGACAGACAGTCAAATGGATGGTGCCTGAACGCGAATGCTACTATGGTAAAGGTTATGCTCATGAATATTAATCACGTTGCGTGACTGGATACTTTAGGAAGGTTTGCCCAGATCCGTCAGTATGATCGATTTAATATTCATGAGCTAAACTTTCGCAGTAGTAGAATTAGTAATTCAGTAGTCCGGACTGTTTACACCTATGGCAACCCATTTAAACATTTATTCTTTAAAAATATTTTATTTTACACTATATTTTGTTACTAATACATGTTTTTAAAGTACTAGTAAGCAGAATTGTGACTAATATCTTGTACTTATTCATCACACGCTATCACTATCCCAATTTAAAACTATCAATTTCATTTTTAGTGTTAAATAATTTTCTCAGTTGAATTCAATGGTGATCTGTTGTTCAGATATCTATTAGGCTGTTCACTTATGACTTATATGTATTCCAGATGTTGCTGGTACCTGATTCAGTCTTTATTAAATTGGATGGATGAGTTTTTAGACACTGCATGAAAAAAAAAAATCAAATAATTTTTTTTGTTGTTGTAATGTTTTTTTTTCTCTTCACTTAATGCTGGTGGAAAACTGAAATGTTGGCATAAACGGACATCTGATACACTGTAGTATGTGCAAGAAACATTGTATTAGATGTCTGATTGTAATACAATAGAAATGTAATGTATATCATGGTAGTATAAATAATTTTCTCAGTTGAATTCAATGGTGATCTGTGGTTCAAATATCTATTAGGCTGTTCACGTATGACTTATATGTATTCCAGATGTTGCTGGTACCTGTTTCAGTCGTTAGTACTTATTCTTTAACCACTAGTAACTATTCAGATATTTACCAGCATCTATTCCTGTTTCCATGCTACAAATTGGATGGATGAGTGTTTAGACACTGTATGTATTAAAGTATCCTCATATAGCCGTTCAATAATATAACGAATAGCTTGTAAATAGTACATAAATTAAAAATACGAGGACGATATAGACAGATACGAGTTAAAGATATAAATGTGAAAACGGCTTGCCATAAAAACCTGCACAAAACGCTACTAGTAACTATTCAGATATTTACCAGCATCTATTCCTGTTTCCATGCTACAAATTGGATGGATGAGTTTTTAGACACTGTATGTATTAAAGTATCCTCATATAGCCGTACAATAATATAACGAATAGCTTGTAAATAGTACGTAAATTAAAAATACGAGGACGATATAGACAGATACGAGTTAAAGATATAAATGTGAAAACGGCTTGCCATAAAAACCTGCACAAAACGCCGAAGCCACTGGATTGGGACGCCGCTGTGACGTAAATGACCCAGTTCAGATGGCGCATCCTTTCACCACATTCACAGGACCAAACTCATAACGGGCAAAGGGCTTGAACAACATAATTATCCATTTAACTTTTTGTTCAATCTACTTTGGAAGTTAAAGACGTATTGTTTTTATTCAGGTCTTCCTGTCTGATTTCGCTAGTCTTCAATCATGATGCCGGTAAGTTTGTAACAACAGCTCATGATACTTCACTGCCGCTGAGATGATTGACAGCTCTCACTCAACATTCATAACTCGTGTATGCATTGCGTTGGACTGCGGGATTCAGTTAGACTATCATGAAGGAATGCGGCTCTTATGGCTTGTCAGTCGTAGTAAGGATCGAGTTAGAGAAGCAGTCATGCTGAAGAAATCACTGCATGTGCCAGATCATATCAAATGGGTGTGATACGGATTTTAATATTAAATTGCCTGTTATGAGGGTCAAGTGACTGGTCACATACAGTATATCATTTTAAGTCAACAAAACAACTAGCCTGTGTGGCTTCTCAGATTTTGGTTGAATGCAGTTGGCTTACTGTAAAATGTCCTAGAGTGAATTACATGCACAATAGGATCTCTTTATATTTACATACATTATAAAACATTTTTTTGAAAAGATTATTGGAGTATATTTGATAAGAAAATAATATTTCAGTTTTTCTAATTCTGGTGTTTCTATTGTTTGTGATATTTACTAGCAATTTCTGAGTGAAAATTGTTTCTACAGTTTTGTTTTTCTTATCTAAACTGGCCCCCAGAAGTGTTTTGACACTTTATCCACTCTTAAAATGTATGAATGTATTTATGCTCTATTATATAGATGTTTTGTTTACATTTTTTTTCTTTTTGATTCTTTCTGAAAAAGGGCATTTTTGGACCAGTTGGTTAATACTATTAGTGATTTTTAAAACGGCTTAGAAAGAGTTCTACGCTTGCAGTCTAGCATCACCTTGCTTTATGTGATACTTTGCATCAAATTATATATAAATAAATGTATGTATACACACACACACACACACAATTTGGTCAATATTGGTTTATTTTCCTTGTAGCTATAATGTTTGTCAGTAACACTTTACAATTACAATACGATTTCATTTTTGTTTACATTAGTTGACCACATTATTTAACGTGAACTAATAATGAATTTATGAATTATTTATTATCAATATCAGTCTATGTTAATTTCAATATGTACTAATACATATTTAAAATCAAAACATTGTATTTGGTAAAGTAATAGTTAAGATTCTGTCATTTACTAAACCTCAAGTTGTTCAAAACCTTTCTTCTGTTGAAGATAAAAGAAGATATTTTGAAGAATGTTGGTAATTAAACAGCTGCCGGTAGCCATTGACTTCCATATTGTGAAGAAAATGTTGGTTACCAACATTCTTCTTTTGTGTAGAAGAAAGACATTCATACAGGTTTGGAACTTGAGGGTTAGTATATAACAATAAATAAAAAATTTGGGGTGAACTATCCCTTTAAATTTAATTAATGAAATGTGAACTAGCATGAACAAACAATGAACAACTATATTTTTACTAATAATACTTTTTTCTTTTTTTTAAAAAATATTTTTGCTTAAAAATCTATTGTTTATTGTTAGTTCATGTTTGCTAATACATTTACTAATGTTAACCAGTGAAACATTGTAAAGTGTTCCCGGATTGTCTTGTTCACCCAATTATTACTATAAAATGCTATGTATTTTTAATTCATTCTGCTTTTACTGATATTTATTCTACATTCTGGTTGTGTTTGTGTCCCTCATCCTGTCAGATTTCTTGTACTGTCTTTGTTTCTGAGTGAGAGTGATGCAGTTTGTGGCTGTGTTGAATGAAACATTAGCCTGCGGGGAGTATTTTAAGGCGCTCTGCGGTGAGCTGTGGAAAGGTTGGGTCAGTTGTCAGAATTCCTGAATTGTGACACACTCAGGGTTGTGTGCTTCTAAATCCCTCACACCCCAAATCCTGGAGCACTTTTCCCAGCAAATGCACAGAATACTGTTAGAATAGAAACTGCCATTTTATTTTTCATCTCCATGAGGCAGCAGTGTCCCTCAATAGGAGGTTTTAGGGCACAGATTACAGGGAGAGCCAGATAGGGTCAAGGGTCAAAGGTGAATGAAAGGAGCGTCCTCTGTACTGAAGTTAACCTTTCACCTTTGCACAGGCAGTCCCATTTGGAGTTCAGACAGCTTGGACTGAGAGTGGATTTAGAGTTAACCGATAGAGTTAATGGACTGCACTCTTCCCCTGTAGTGAACAGAGATTCTCTCAATTTTGGCTGCATGTTTCCTTTTTTGGCTGCATAGACCACAGGAATGATTCCATAACATGTCAAACTCCAATGCAGACATGTGCGATTAACCTTAGGACTCCAGATTGACATGTCATTATAAAAGTAGACTTTAAGAATTTATCTGCCAAACAACCAACATGCACAGATTAGTGATGGGAAGTCCAATTTCTTTCTGTGAACTGGTTCACCAGTTTGTTTGTCACATATACACAATTCTATTAATAAAGCACCCAGTATTTATGTGATATGTGGATGTTGTACATGTCTAAAGCATATAGATTGAATAAAGAAGTCTTAATCAACTCACCTTTTTATATAAACCATCAAAAACCTTAATTTCACCACTTGTTGCCATACTACTGTTGACTTGAAACGACTGCCATCAGATCACTGTTGTATTTCCAATACATTTGAGTTGTTATACTTTATGCTTTTTCGGTAAAAGTCATCAGAAACATAAATTTTGCCTCCCTTTTTAAACCCTCAGCAGACAGTTTGTAAACTGGACTTGACCGTATACCTTCATAGATTAACTGGAGTGCAGAATGAGAAAAACTGGCAGAATGGGATCGTAAACTATTGGATTTTGGCTCATTTCGAGTCGGAGTGACTGTCAGGCATGTCCGAAAGTGAGTTTTGATTGAGTAACTTATAGAGCTGTGCTGACTCGAGCTGCAAACTGTTTCAGACGGTTCAGTCCAATTTGGTGAACTGATTCATCCAGATTACTAAAAAGAACCGGTTCCAAAAAAAATGATACGTTTGCGATCCGTACGTCACTAACCCAGATCAGTCTTTTATTTTCAGAGCTGGGGTTTATGTTGACTTACTGTACATATGAATATTTATAACTCTAGAAGTGCCGGATGGGAAATGCAGAAGTATTTTCTTCCTTTGGGACAAGATAAATAAAAGATCAAATATGAAAAGCAAGCAGAAATATCTGTCTTCATGTTAAGCTAATTCAAGTCTGGAGAATTTTCACAAGTTTGCTGCTTGCAATAAGCAAGAGTCATTCTGTTTTGCGATGTAAAATTGCGCACAGCGTTTTGAATATTCATAAAC